GGTCTTCCTAATTTCAGTTTTTCCAAAATTTGCCCTTTTTAAATTGAGAGCATTTCACCCCCCAGAAGCCCCAAACAAGAAAAGAGGGGCAAAGGGGGGGGGGGAATTCTGGGAGTTGAAGTCCACTCATCTTAAAGTGGCCAAGTTTGGACAACACTGCCTTAATTAAAGAGAAGGATTGCACCTAGGCCCGCAGGCCTCTGGGCATCTGGGAGTGGCTTGGTTGCTTCTAATCAGTAAGCTAGTTTCTGCAACCTCTGGTTGCATAAAGCTCACTGGGCCCCTGTGGGTTTCCATTCCTTTTTGGATTGTTCCCTCTGACTGCTTCCCAGACTGCTCCTTTATCAAGTCGGGAAGCAGGATATCTCCTTGCTGTGCGGCTGCAATTCCTCCCTTCCCTTTGCTCTTCAGCTGAACCTGTTTCTTGCCGGGAGTAAAATCAGCTAGTTGCAATCCTCTGCTTGCTTTGCCCTTATGCAACAGTGGGATTGTGTTCTAAGTGCTGCCAGATGGTTCATGGGGTCACGAAGAGTCAGACACGACTGAACGACTGAACAACAACAACAATTCCTGAGATGCTGTCGTTTCACTTGTTCTTGTGCTTTGTGTCTTCAGTTAGACAGTATCCTTGGCTCAGAATTTTTTTCTAGGGAGAAACTAGTGGAACTGCCAGGAACAAGAGCTGCAATTATCATCATCCCTTTGCCTCTGCTGATGATTTAAGGAAGATCGTGTGCCTTTCTCTGCTAATTAGATAGAAGGGGATGACTTAAAGAAATTCTAGTATCTGCCAGCGTCTGATTAATTAAAAACACTGTGTTGCAGCCAGCTTTCGGAGAGCTGACTAGTTTAGGGCTTCAGTGGGGAAAATGGCTCAGTCCTGAATCACTGCCACCCATTTATTTCAAGTGATGCCAATAGAAGAGAATATTTGTAGCTCAGGGTTGAACTGTGGAGTCCTTGGGGCTCTCTGAGCTTGGTTGTTTGCTTGCAGACACTTCATTACCCAACTAGGTAACATCATCCGTGCGAGTGAGAATAGGGTTTACTGCCTGTTTATATGCAATAGTTTGCCCTGTCAGTTTGGTGGGGGTGTGGTTTTCTCCTTGGTAGTTCCTTGATTAGGGTATTGTTTTCTGCCTGATTGTTTGTCTGCTGTTAATCACTGCTTATCTGGGTGTTGGCTCCTGGAGAGGATGTTGGCTGCTGGAGAGGATGCTGGTCTTTTTGTTTCCTTCTTAGCCTTTTTATTGTCTCTTTTGCATAGTATGTAAATGTGGTTTATCTCTATGGGTCTATTGATGGCTGATTTGTCTGAATGCCAAGCTTCCAGGAATTCCGTAGTGTTTTTGGATTTGGATTTGTCTGAATGCCAAGCTTCCAGGAATTCCGTAGTGTTTTTGGATTTGGATTTGTCTGAATGCCAAGCTTCCAGGAATTCCGTAGTGTTTTTGGATTTGGCTTGGTCTAAGATGCTAACAGTTTACCAGTTGAAACTATGGTTGAGTCTGTCCATGTGTTGTGAGATTAAGGACTTTTCATCATGTTTTCTGTTTATTAGTGTTCATGGATGTGCTCTGCTAGTCTTATGCCTGCCTGTCCTACATAGTGGCTATTATAGTCTTTACACTGTATGTTGTAGATGACTCCTGGTTTTTCTTCTTGGGCTACTGGGTCTTTTGGTTTGGTTTCATTGATGGCCTAAGTCAACTAAGGCTTAATTTCTCCTTACACTCTTAAAATGTATTGTAGTAGAGATCACCCATGGTTCAGACCTAAGTAGGTACTGTGTATGGATTTTGACTAGCAACCAGATGGAGCCAAGAAAGTTTCCTAGATTTCTTTTAAGAACTAGGTGTTGTGAATATTACCTTGTATACTTTGACTTTCCTGTTTGATCTGTTCTGGATACTCTGAAGACTGTCTTTTTTGTTTTACTGTAGCTCTGTTCAGCCTCCTTTATAACTGAACCAACTCAGGTATGCCAGTTGACTTATTAGACAGTGGAGTAATTGTAACAAAGGGAGGGGAGGTATTTGCCTTGTGGATTGGAAATACAAAAAGTCCACTGGACTCCCTTCTGCCACCCATTCCTCATTCCAGACTCTCAATAAATGTGATCAGCAGGATAGGGCTTCCCTATTTGGGCTGCAAGAATATTAATGACCGCTAGATGGCAACAAAGAGTTAGAGTATGAGTATCTCTCTGACACCATGTCTATAGATTGTCCTGATTTTAGTAGTCCAAGCCCCAACAGGAGTTACAGAGGAAGAGTTGTACAGGAGGAAGGAACAAGGGAAGGACTTCCGACACTGTTCCCATCTTAGCCGTTCTCTCAGCAGCAGTACAACATGCTGGAAGTAGAGTCTTTGTGGGCCTTGGTGGCTTCCCATGATTACTGCTGGCTGCTCTCTTCCTCTCTTCACCCTTCTCCTCCTTCCTACTTATGAAGGTGTAAGAGGACAGAGCATAGGCAACAATCTGGACAGCCAAGAGATGGTAGCCAGCAAAACGGAGAACTCTAACTCTTCACCTGAGGTTCAGAGAGCTCTATTTACACCCATAGATTTGATCTACCTATTCAGAAATAGTTTGCTGACCCAGGTCAAGAAGCACTGCATGGTACTCCAGAATCATCTTTTGTCTCTAGCAGCTGATCTTTTGTTATGATAAGCAAGTAACTTTGACTCCCCAAGGGTCTTTTTTTTTTCAATGTTCAGGATGCCTCTATTGTTTTCTTTCATTTGACGTATTCTGAGTTTAGTCCTAGAATCTTCAGTTCTTTGCAACCTTAGTCTACAAGTCAATACCTGCCATCACTTATCCTCTCCTCTCCCTCACCTCCATCCCCAGTTTTACTCACCTCTTTCCCAACAGGTATCCCACTTCCCAGGCCAGCTGTTAGGCTTACAACTTTGGCCACAAATGCTTTAGGTGTGAGGTACTCCTTGAGGACTACTCCTCGCATAATAGTTTTCAATTCTGGAATCCCAGAGCCTGAACAAAACAGAAAGGAATCAAGAAGAATGGTACTCAGAGAGAACATACCCCAGAACATACTGAGAGACCACAGCTCAAGGGACACATGACAGATGGCACCAGACCACTTAGGTGACATCCAGGTTGACCTCAATCATATAGGAAGCATATGAGTGCTTGGATCTTCAATAATAAGAATGTATGGAAGGTATTAAAGAGTCCTATCTGCCTGCACCAAATCTCCCCTTGGTCTCCTTTCTCATGTGACAAACCATGGAGCCCTCATACTAGTTCAAAACAGAACAAGTTACATGGACATAAAAGAACACAGTGCTCCTTGACTGTGTACCCATTGTGCTATAAGAATAGGTGGTGGGTGGATGAACAGGCAGCCAGGGGACTACATCTATGACACAACTGACTGGTTGTGTAGTTTGGTCCTGAGATGAACAGAGATATCTTCCCACTACCCCTGGATTCCTCACCCACAGCCTGTGGAGAGACAAGCTGGCAGAAGAGGGCAGCAAAAAGGATAAGGATGAGGGGGTAGGTGACCCAGGCCAGGAACTGCATAGGGATGCTGGGGTGCATCTCTTTGTACATCCACTTGTAAGCTGTAGAGGAGAAATAATAATAGATGTGAGTTATTGTAGCACCTGAAAGGAACCCAAAGAACATGAATCCAACCCATAGCAGGAGTTGTCATTGGCCAGTCTCAAAGCCCTACCAGAAGGATAACCAAGCTTAAGGAGGCAGGGCCAAACTAAACTTACTTGTTGTAAACTGCCCAGAGTCGTTTCACGAGATGGGCAGTGACAAATTTAATGAATGAATGAATAAATACATAAATAAATAAATGAGGCAGGAACTTATTCCTATCTTGCTCAGCAGTCTTTCCTACACCAGTCTATATTTTCAAATGGCTTGTGTTCACAGAAGTTATAGGCAGGGTGGGACAGAAGAAACCAGCAGCAAGGTCTTTTCTTTTTGACGGAGTTTTGTCAGTTCAGGATCTGTGCAGGGTTCAATGAGGGCAGGATCATTGATTGGCCAGCCTGGAGGCAACCCGGACAGACACTGATTAGTCTCTATGATCAGCAGCGTCCCAACATCCACCCTAATGAACAAATGCAGCACCTTTTGAAGGTCGCTTCATTCCTCCTTTGGGTAGCAGATATTCACTAGGAATGAGAGATGCCTACCTGCCTGGTGGAAGACCCAGATCTTAAGAGGGAAAAGGACAGTGTTTGCTTTTAGGAAAGAAAACAAACAAGCAAACCTTCCATGACCAAAGCTGGCACCTTTCAGTCCATTGTGCTTTCAAGAAATTATTCATCTATCTACTCTGTCTTGTTTGACTCTGTATGTGCAATATTGTTAGGCTTTTAATTGGTTTCGGTTGTGAATGATGCTGCATTAATAATGAAACAGAGCAAGTATGTTTTGATGTTGTTGCATTTCTTCCGGGTGTGAACCGACCTACCTTGCAAGCTCTTGGCACTGGTGTAATCCACCCCCCAACTGACTAGTGCCATGACCAGACCCAGAAGAACCAAGAATATCCAGTCTTCTCCCAGCTTCTTCGTCACATATTTCTTGATACTTTTGGTACAGGCTGCAGAGAAGGAAGGTCTTTTAAACAGTAATATGAGCTACAGTACATTTTCAACCAAAGTTACCATTTTATAGTTCTATAAATCACACTGGGAAATGTATGACAGTGTAATAAATGTGTTGAATTTCTTCCACTGAAATCGAAAGGATAAGAGGACTTAAAGAATGCCAGATGGTGCCATTTCTTTCCAAACAGATGGAGATACATCTAAAGCTTGCATAAAGTCTGCTCCTTAATTCAGAGGCATTGAAGAACGTAAGCATCAGTAAATTCATCAGGATTAAAGTACCCTGGTGCATATTTTATCAAGCACGTGCTAGGTAACTAGTTGAAAACAGTAGGCTTAAAACAACAAAAGAAAAATAAACGTTTCCCATTTCACTTAACTGGCAAAAACTTACATTACTGTCCAATCTGAATTAGAAATAGTTACTTAGCCCACAGTGCTTTGAGTATGCAGGAGGAATACAGTAAACAAGATATGGTGTTATTTTTAATAGGCCATTAATTCCTACTCTTCAGCATTGCTAATATACGAGGCCCTTTGAGAATATGTTTGAATTACTGAATTATCTCAATAATTAACCTTTATGTATGCAGAAGTAGAATAATCATATATTGCCTAGTTTTCTTACTTTTTTTTTTAAAATCCAGGTATTCCACAGCTTCATACATCTACAACAAGCCATTCTTTGTATATGAGAAAGTGCTGGTTAATTGCTCAAGCTACCTTGTCAACCATTTCTCACTGGGAGAGAAGCCAAACTCACACAGCACTCTTCAGCTTTCTTTTAGAAATGTATTTAAGTGGCCATTTTTATTTGGAAGAAAAAGCAACCGTTTCTCCATCTGGAGTATGTTCTTAATCCTAATCAAGGTTCTGTGCCAGTTTCCCATCCAAAAACACCTTCCTTGCTGTTATTTGTGCCCCAAAGCACTGTTCACAGTACCCTGAGACTCAAAGAGAAGCTGGGGGGGGGGAGGCATGGGGTAGATGGACTGGCAGGAAAGCAGGACAGGGAATCGGGGGCCTGTACAGCTTTTTCTCCTTCAGATTCACAGTTTCAAATTCATGTTTAAGAATGCTTGGTACATGCACAATAAGTGTTTTCTTTATTTTCCCCCCAGCATGTTTTCAAACAGTTCCAGTGTCTGCTGAAACTTCTTAAAATCTGTTCAGTGCTCCTCAATGAAGTAATTAGTAACAGTAGACAAAGCTCCCTTCGCCTGCTTTTAGTTAGTTATGGAAAGAAATCAGTGTCCAACAGTGGACACAGAACAAGCAGAAATACTTTATTCTTCCAAATTCAACATGGCTTTGTCAAGGAAATACTTGAGAATGCTAGGGCATTTGTTATTCAAGAATGAGCTTCGCTTTTGCTCTACATGAACTACGATGTCCTATCATCCAAAAGCAAGCCTAATACTGCCCTGTTGTTGGATAGTTTCAGGAAATATTTCATCTTATTTGTGGGTAAGAGTCTTTGAGGAAGTGTGTCTGATGTTACTGATGTTCTCATTGAGAAAACCCGAGGGAAGAGATCTTGGAGTAAATGCTCATGTTCCCTTTCTCGATCCAAATGTCTCCCTGTCAAAACAGTTTTCATTCATGAAAAGGCCTTAAGATTACCACTGCATGTAGTGTGTAATTTGCCCTGAATGTACTCACAGCCACAATCACAGAGTTTTTTGTGATGCACAGTTGGAAGGTACATTGGTTTAAAATAGAAAAATTGAGAACTACAGAATTAAAGCATCAAAACATCCATTCTGTGATCTTCCTATTCCTTTCCATTTCTTCATCCCACACCGCATGCAATAAACTCCAGTTCAGTTTACCCCCAAGCTACTGTGAGCTTCTTGGAAGAGCAAGTTTCACTGGGGCTTACCATGATACTTAGAGTAGTTCTTCTCTTTGAGTTCAGCATGACATCTCCGCTTCAAGGGATCTTGAGACTTCTTACTCAGAAGTTCAGCTGCTTCCTTGTGGGAAAGACTGGGAAGCTGTTCAGTATATTGACCATAGAGCTGAGAGGAGAGTAATAGGCAGTCAAGACACTCCAAAGACAATATAGCACAAGACAGCCAGGTGCAACAAGATGCATGTTAATTGCTATGTCAAAATGAGGTACCTTTAATTATAATGCACAGTTGAATGTAAACATGATTCCAGGTCCCATGCAGTAAATAACATTCACTGAACCTAAACCAAGTACATTTTGCCCATAATCCTGATCATACTCAGAGCTAGTTCATACAAGTACATAAACCTCATAATGTTGCACCTGACAACTTGAAAGCGTGAATGTGAAATGGTATGGATGTTCTGCTGGTGGTAAAAGATCTGTGATAGCTCATTCGTGCATACATTTATTTTATTATTTCTTGCTTCAGTAATCATTGATGAATGATGAATCTGTGTGAACCAGTCTCAACTCTTGGAGAGATTTTTAATCCCTCCTGGTAGTTGTATGTGCTTTCAGTCTTCCAAATTGTTCATTACACAATACTGCTT